GACAGAGCACGGCGCACCATCACCCTGACTTAGTCACACATGGTGCACCAGGTCCTTCAGCGCTTCGGCTTCCAGTTCTCCTCGCCACAGCCCACTCCTCTTTCTACCGGGCACTCGCTCTCAGCTCCACCTTGAGACGAGTCCGTAGAGCCAAGTGGTTTGTACCCAGAGCTTGTGGGTTGCCTCATGTACCTGATGACGTGCACACGACCTGACCTCGTGTACCCTCTCAGCCTTCTGGCTCGCTACGTGGCTCCCGGTAGGCACCGAAAGGTGCACTGGGATGCTGCGAAGAGGGTATTGCATTACTTGTGCAGTTCGTCGGGCATGGGGCTCGTGCTTGGAGGACGGGGTCCAGTTGTCCTCACTGGTCACGCAGACGCTTCTTGGGTTGACGACTCAGCTACGCAGCGGTCGTCACAGGGTTACACCTTCAGCCTTGATTCCGGCTCTGTTTCCTGGCGGTCTACCCGCTCGTCTTCGGTTCTTAGCTCCAGTTGTGAGGCTGAGATCTACACAGGGGCCATGGCTGCACAGGAGTTACGCTGGCTCACCTACCTGCTGAATGACTTGGGAGAGCAGCCTCGTTCGCCTCCAGTTCTGTACGTAGACAACAAGGCCATGATTGCCTTGTGTCAGGAGCACAGACTGGAGCACAGAACGAAGCACATTGCTCTGCAATACTTCCTTGCTCAAGAGTTGCAGCAGCGTGGCCAGCTTCGTCTTGCGTACGTGGCCACTAGGGCCAACACTGCTGATATATTCACCAAGGCACTTCCGCCTGGTGATCATCATCGCTTCTCTACTGTGTTAGGCCTTGTGCCTACTTTGCCTCACTTGCTCACTGCTTGACTCTGCTTGTACTGTGATCTATGTATATATACCTGCATACTTACACTTGCTAGGGTATGATCAAATTTTAGTTTGTTCTGTTTTATATAACTCTGCATGTGAACTGGCCTTGTGGCCCTTTGCTTGTGCTCGGACTGTGTGGTGACTTTGTGATCCACCCCGAGCTTGCTTTGCTTTTCTTGACTGGTCTTGTGACCACTTGTTCTCCCCCACTTTGCCTATGGGGCTGTGTCGAAATGTTGTATAGCTTATATTGTGTAGGCTATAGTGGGGTAGCCCATAAGGGATACAACCCAATTAGGGTTAGTACTTGTACCCAACTCTTTGCTAGTTCATTCATTCTCATTCATTCTTCTGACAGCAGGACCCCTCGGCTCAGCATTCCCAGACTCCGCACCCTCAGAATCAGCACCCCTACGCTCCGCACCCTCAAGCTCAGCACCCCCAGGCCCCGCACCTGCAGGCTCAGTACCCCCTAGCTCCGCACCCCCAGGCTCAGCACCCCCAGATCCGGCACCCTCAGACTCAGCACCCGCAGGCTCAGCACCCCCTGACGCAGCACCCCCAGACGCAGCACCTCCAGACGCAGCACCTCGAGCAGCACCTGAGTCTACAGTGACCTCAACATGCATAGTACCAGGGAGCGGGTCTACCTGAGACACACCTGAGGGAGCAGGACCCTGGGGGGGGAGGGGGTCTACCGCAGGGGGACCTAGAGCAAGGAAGAGCAGCGAGGGTGGGAGAGGGGCAGAGTAGTAAGGGAAGAGATGGTAAATGGGAACCAACTCGTCAAACGTGATGTCCTGAGAGGGGAGGACACGGCGCGAGGTGGGGTGGTAAAACTGCCAGCCAGACATTTCAGGGGGAAAGCCATGGAAGGCGTAGAGAATAGCGCGGGCAGAGATCTTGTCCGCGGAAGTATCGCGGACAAAGGCACGAGAGCCCCAGACCCGGAACACCGACGCATCGCCAACCTTCCCCGTCCAACGCAATGTATGCGAGGTCTCCGGCAAGGAGACACGGGGCCAGAGGTTGAGCTGATGCGCAGCGTACCGGACTGCAAACGGCCACAGAAAATGGGGAGCAGCCGCATGGATCATGGAGGTACGTGCGACCTCCATGACTAAGCCAATGCAGCGCTCAACAATCCCATTTTGCTGCGGAGAGGCCGGAAGTGTGAACGACTGGAGAATGCCCTCCTCATGGCAAAAATCCCGCAAGAGGTAGGAGGAGAACTCACCACCTCTGTCAGAGTGCAGACGCAGGACACGAAGGTCCGCACAGAACCGCTCGCGGAGCTGGAGACGGACTGCGTGGATCCAAGGGATCAAGACATCAACGACCTGACCCTTGCAACGCAAGGGGAAGAACGTGGTGTAACGCGTGTAGTCCTCAAAAACCAGCAGAAAGTAGCGCTCGCGGTCCTGTCCACTGACGCGGGCTGGGCCCCACACGTCCATGTAGAGAGTCTGCAGGGAGCCATCGTCAGGGGGAAACGAGGAGGAGTGAGGAGCGGCGCGCTGCCTCCCCTTGACGCAGGGAAGGCAGGGCGGGGCAGGCGAGGGCGGGAGGGGAGGGAGAGACCTGGGAAGACCAGAAACAAGGAGGCGGGAGTGCATGCCACGAAGGCGTGGCAGGGAGGGGTGACGAAGGCGGTGGTGCCACAGGAGAGTCTGGTGCGACAGGAGGCAACACGAGCAGGGGGGTGCTACCGGACTTGACGCGGACACCTAAGCAGACGCAGCTATCTGAGGAGGCTCGGTAGCCAGTGTGTACAGACTCGACCCAGGCCGACGGGTGAACGTGGCCAGGTGACTGCCCGTCCGTGTACACGTGCAGATCGACACACGCTGACCCCCAGGAGTGGTGGTAGTGACCATCGCATCTTGGAGGGCAGCGGTACTCACCAAGTTCGTAGAGAACGAGGGGAGGTGAAGACCTGACAGTGAGCTGGCAGAACCGCCGGACATTGGAGAACAGTGGAGGAATGGGCAAGAATTGGGCCCCCTGAGCGGTCAGCCAGTCTGACCGGTACAGGTGCAGAGAAAGGAGTGAGGGTGGTGCTGTCGCCAAAAAAACAGCGGGAAGGACTTGAGTCAAGCGTAAAGGTGTGCAAGGCCTCAGCAGACGCAGTACCAGGGAGAGCAGACTCACTTGCACCTAGAGCAGCAGCCTCTATCCCTCGGTCAAGCGGCACACACAGGTAACAGTCGCCCTCAGCACTAACAGACAAGGCATACATAGAAGCAAGGATAGCATCATAGTCAAGATCAAAGATAGCAACTCCAGACCAAAGCAGCTCTGCCCAGCGGGGACGCTTGGCCTTGTCACCAAACTCTGAGCGCCAAGCGTCATCAAGGTGGGAGAAGCAGCGGTGCTGAGTGTGAGGCTTCCTGCATGTCTGACCAGCACGGTCACCCGTGCGAATGACATACGGGCAGAGAACACTACCCCCAGACGCCCCACGCTGAGCAAACCACTCACGAAGCTGGGGCGAAGGGGTCTCGCTCCGACGCTGCTGCTGCTGCCGCTGGCCACCGCCTGAACCTCCCCTCTGAATAGCTCCACCCCGAATGCCACCACTCCCACTACGGCCACTACTGCCACTCCCACCGCTGCCACCACCGCCGCCACCAAAGCCCCCACTCCCGCCACCACTCCCACCGCTGCCACCACCTCCAATACCTCCGCCACCTCCACTGCCGCCCCCACTACCACCCCCGCTGCCACCTCCACTACTCCTGCCACCCTTGCCCTTGCTGCTGCGGTGCTTCCCACTAGCAGAAGCAGCCCCGATATCCTCAGCACCAAGGACGTCAACAGTAGCAGCAGAGGCGTAGGAGGGGGCAAGGGGGGGGGGGGGAACACCCCTCAAATAAGGGCGTGCGAGGAGTGCCACGAGCGGCACCTACAGCAACTACACTAGTCTCAGCTGCAAGGAGGTGTGATTCGAGCAGGTCAACAATGAGGTCTGTGGGGTCAAGTGCGAGAAAGTGATTCCTGACTTCACGAAGAGAGTCAGGGAGGCGGGTGACTATGAAGTAGAGAGTGATGTACATCGGGGGTGGGTTCTTGTCAAGGAACTCTGCCGGGAGGGCAGCGCGGTAGCGAGCGTCACTAGTGCAAAGGTGGGTAACGAGGTCCTCTATTGTGGCAAAGGCGGACAACTTGGGAAACATGTAGGGCAGTATGAGACGGCCAAGAGCAGCAGTGGCAGGGGAGGAGTAACGAGCAACTACAGTGTCGTACATTGCTTTAGCACTCTTGTGCTGTCTGAAGTGAGCGCATTCGGCTAACAGCAGGTGGTTGCGAATGGCTAAGCGAGCAGCAGCATCACGGGTAAGCCACTGTGAGCGAGTCACACTGTCAGTTGTGGCGGGAGGGGCGAGAGAGGCTCCAGACGTGTGGTCAAACAACGAAACGCTGTCTTTAGAGTCGCTCAGTAGGTACAGCTGTAATTTGTCGAGCCACGTGTCGAACCGGATTGGACGGCCCTCATGATGGAACGTGAGGACACGGAAAGAAGCCATAGCAGAGCAGCACGCAGGCAGGGCGGCACACAGCAGAGCGGGCAGGAGGCAGGCAGCGCAAGGAATAGGGCTGGTTTCGGAGTTACTACCCTCTCCTTCCTCACTCATCTCTTTTGCTTGCCTCTTCCCTACCTTCTGTCCTCACCTTCTTCCCTTCCTTCTTATTTTGGCCTTTCCCCACCTTGTGCTTTCCCCACTCCTGCTGCCCTGTTCCCTTCTTTGTACTCAGCCACTACCGAGAGATTCAGGCTCCCACACGCAGGCCGCCCAAAGTGGCGCAGTCACCTAGCTTAAGTAGCTTTAAAACGGTAATACTTGACCACTATATGAGGCGAAAAAGACGGGAGAACAGGTTTGCTATGCTAGGCTAGGCTATTTGTGCTTGGCTGCCCAGTCGCGAGTAACTCAGCGTGCTAGGTTGAGCTCTAGCCACCTGGGCCTTGGATTGGCCCTCGCCAGATTGCCTGTCTCCCGAGGTTCCTGAAATTGTCCCCGAAGCGCCCTGTAACCCCCAATGCCACCAACTTCTCGCTACTCTCTATAACCCAACTACCCCACATGCAGATTGAATAACACTCGCTACACCCCTTCTACACCCAATTAGCACATGTCTCCAATATGATGCACTTACCATTATATTCGGTGACAGCTGTCGGAGTTACTCCCCTCTCCTTCCTCACTCATCTCTTGCCCTTGCCTCTTCCCTGCCTTCTGTCCTCACCTTCTTCCCTTCCTTCTTATTCTGGCCTTTCCCCACCTTGTGCTGTCCCCACTCCTGCTTCCCTGTTCCCTTCTTCGTACTCAGCCACTACCTGCCCCCTCCTGTGCTCTAGCTCGAGCTGCTTGGGCGAGAGTCACAGGACTCTCTTTGAGGACGGCTGCACTTCACTCCTGCCATGCGGGTCTGGTGGTCCACGGTCTGTTCTCCCTACTCCTTCTCCAGCACTAGCACTCCCATGCCTCGCACTGCTTGCGCCCTCCCATTCACTCTTCCCTATGCCCCTCTCTTCCCGTCCCACCTCTATAGCCGCCTTGATCCCCTTGCCTTCCTGCTGCTGCCACTGCTCACAGCAGCACGCAGCCCTCAACTGCACGGTATGTCACTCCTCCACCGCCGCCAGTGTCACCTCCTGCAAGTGTTCCGCTGCCTTAGCTTGCTCCCATGCCGCCCGATTCTCCGCCTCTTCCATTGTATGGTCTACCTTTTTCCCCGCTGCTAGGGGCTCCCATGCCCCCACTTCCTTACTCTCCCGCTCTGCTTCCTCCTGCTCCTGGGCCTTGCCTCTCATTGCTTCTTCTATCATTTCTTCCCCCAGCAGCTCTGGCCTTCCTCCCCGCAGCTTCCTCACATGCTGCTCCGCCAGCTTATTTCCCTGCGCTCGCTCCTCTGCTTGCGTCCAATCCTTCACCGTCACACCAGTCTTCACCCCTGCCCCGATTTCCCCGAACAGCTCCGCTGTCCTTAGCGATGGCTGCCAAACACTCCCTCCCATGTCTGTACTGCTCAGCCCCGTCTTCCCTCCCCTCCTCACCGCTCCCTGTTTCTCGCCCTTCCCTTCCGCTTCTGCTGCTGCTGGTACACACGCCCTGGCCCCCGCCTTTTCGTCCCTCTCCTCTATTTCTGCTGCTGCGAGTACACCCACTCCTGCCCCCACCTGCTCGTCCTTCTCCTCTGCTTCTACTGCTGCTAGTACGCACGCCCAGGTCCCCTCTTTCTCATCCTTCTCTTCCCCTTCTGCCACTGCCCATGCCCTCACCTTCTCGTTCTTCTCTTCCCCTTCTTCCACTGCCCATGCCCTCACCTTCGTCGCTTGCTCCCTTCCTCCGTCCCTGCCCCCACTGCGCAGCCCCATGGCTTCACTGCTACGCAGCACCGCATAGGAGTATTCTGGCTCCTGCTCCCCTTCCTCTTCCTCCTCTTCCTCCCTTGCATACAACCCCTCCTGCCTCTCTGTTCTTCCTCTGAGCGCCCGCCCTTTTCTTCCGTCTCTGCCCCTACTGCGCCGACCCAGTTCCTCACGGCTACGTAACGCCAGGAATGTGTACTCTGGCTCCTGCCCCTCCTCCTCTTCTGCTCCTTCTTCCCTCGCGTACAACCCAGCCTCCTTCTCCTTCCTCCCTCCCAGGTCCTGCAACTGCACCTGCAACTTCCTTATCTGGCTCTTGATCTCCTCTGGTGACCCTTTTGTTCCGCCTGCCCCTTTATCGCATTCCCTTGCCTCATGCCCCCTTTCTCCGCACTCCTTACATGTCGGTGCCCCCGGGCATTCCCTTTGGCGGTGCCCAGGCTTCCCACATACATCGTAGTTCCTGCACTGGATCCTTATGTTCCCCGGCAGCCCACACCGGTAACAGGTGCATGTCTACGTCCTTTTCTCCGGCCTGCTCTCTTCTCCTGCTCCCTCCCCTGGTATCATCGCCGCTGCCCAGGTAGGACTCTTCTTCTCTATCGCCCTCAGCAGTTATACCTCGTACTTCCTCTGCACCAGCTCCACCCTCTCCGCTAACTCGAACACCTCCTCTGGTGTTGCAGCTGCTCCTAGCTCATAGACTCTCATTCTCAACCCTCCTGCCAATCCCTTGTCTAAACTGTTCAGAAACTTACTAATGATCATGCTGCTATCCGTGCACACCACGTCTTCTGCCAGATTCATTAACCGTCCGTAGTATGTCAGCAGTGACTCCTCATCCCTCCGCCTAAACTCCTGGAATTCCCTGATGCGCGCCGCCGTATGCCCAGGGAACTGCTTCCTTAGTCGCTCCAGGAACAGTACCGTCGGGTCCTCGTCATCCTCTTCTGCCCTCCTCAGCCATTCACAAATCTTCATGCGATACAAAGTCTCTGCTTCCCCTCCCAACGTGCTTGGCAGGCTCAGGAAAAACTCGATCGGGTCCATCCCGCTTCTGTCGCATCGGTATTTAACATTGCTGATCTGCATCAAATAATTCTTTAGACTTGGGCCGGTTTTCTCGTTTCCCGTGAAGCGTACTGGCACCTCCCCTCGCGGCTGTGCTGTTGCGCCCCACTTCCCTGTTTCCCAGCTCTTCGTCCCTCCTCGCTCATACATCATAACCCCTCTCCTCCTTTCCTTTTCTCCCTTGCTGCCCGTGCTGGTTCCGTACAGCACTCGCTCTATGCCTTCCCTAGCCGCTCTTGCTCCTGTAGATCCTTCGCCGTGACACCCAGGCCTCCTCGGGCCCATCGGGCTGGGGCACCTCCCTCGAACATCTTCACGCTCCCCCCAGCACCTCTCTGCATCTTCCCGATGCTTCTCTCCCCTTGCAGGGGACCGTTCTTGGTACCGCCGCACTCTGTCCTCTCGCTGTTGCTCCTCTGCTGCCCTCGAGACTTTTGGTGACCGCACACCTTCTCTCTTGCCTCGCCTGACTTTCTCGCGCTCCCTTTCTCTTTCTGGTGAGCGCCACCCGCCTCTTTCCTCGTAATCTCCGCGCTCTTCCCAGCCTCGGTGCTCCTGATCACGTCTTCCCGTTTCTCCTTCCCTTCCTGCCTCTTCACCCCGCTGGTATTGCTCTCCTTCGCCCCTCCTTACACGTCTCTCTCTCTCTCGGGCCACCTTCTTGCATCTCCACCTGTTTCCTTTGCAGCCCTCCTCTCTGCCCGCAGGTGTTCTTCTGCTTTCTCACGACGCGCTCCCGCATCTGCCTCTGAGGCGCTGGGTGACAAACGTTCGCTACCCCTGCCTCGCGCCCTCCCCTCCGGCCGCCGCCTCCTTGCTGGCGAGTGCTGAACGCGCTTTCCTTTGTAATCCTCGTCCTCCTCTTCTTCCGACCACTCCGGCGATCTCCTTCCTCCCATCGCCATACGCCTCCTGCCCAGCCGGCTTTGTCCTGGCTCGGGCGAACAATACACTCCTGCTGGCGCAGCATGGCTCTTCTCCTCCTCCCCTCGCTCCCTTGACAAGGGCTCAGCTGCTTTGCTCCTTCTGCGCCTCGCTTCACCTCTACGCGGTCCCTTGGGCGAGTGATCTGCCGCCATGTTCCCCTGGCGTTTCGCGCCACTCCCGCGAATCTCCTCTGGCGCACGATCCGCATCCGCGATTTGCCCCTGGCGCCTCGCGTCACTCCCGCACATCTCCTCTGGCGCACGATCCGCATCCGCGATTTGCCCCTGGCGCCTTGCGTCACTCCCGCACATCTCCTCTGGCGCAAGATCTGCATCCGCGATTTGCCCCTGGCGCCTCGCGTCACTCCCGTGCATCTCCTCTGGTGCAAGATCTGCATCCGCAATTTGCCCCTAGCGCCTCGCGTCACTCCCGCGCATCTCCTCTGGCGCACGATCTGCATCCGCGTCACGCTCTTCTTCTGCGACCCCTTCCTTCTCCTCCTGGCCGTCAGCCTCGCTTGCCGAATCCGACGAGACCGCCATGCCCGCGTAGTCGCGACGCCTTTCACCCGCTCCTTGCTGGACGCCTGCCAGATTCCAAGGATCGTTGCAGGACGGTCTAGGCCTGGGCTCTGTCCACACGTGCAGATCGGCCTCGCCTCCTTCTTGGCGTCCTCCCATGGGTGTCACCAGATCCGCGCGGTACGCCGCCCTCCGTGGCGAATGCATCCGCGATCTCCCACGCTCTAATGAGCGCATCCTCGACGACGGCTACAATTCCCGCCTCGAGTTCATCTGCTGCCAGCGCAGCTCGTGGCAGTCCATACTGCCGAGTTTTCTCTCGTCTTGTGAGAGATTCAGGCTCCCACACGCAGGCCGCCCACAGTGGCGCAGTCACCTAGCTTAAGTAGCTTTAGAACGGTAACACTTCACCACTATATGAGGCGAACAAGACGAGAGAACAGGTTTGCTATGCTAGGCTAGGCTATTTGTGCTTGGCTGCCCAGTCGCGAGTAACTCAGCGTGCTGGGTTGAGCTCTAGCCACTTGGGCCTTGGATTGGCCCTCGCCAGATTGCCTGTCTCCCAAGGTTCCTGAAATTGTCCCCGAAGCACCCTGTAACCCCCAATGCTACCAACTTCTCGCTACTCTCTATAGCCCAACTACCCCACATGCAGATTGAATAACACTCGCTACACCCCTTCTACACCCAATTAGCACATGTCTCCAATATGATGCACTTACCATTATATTCGGTGACACTGGCAGCAGCCAGGCAGTGCACGGGCTGCAGAGGAGGCGGCAAGCGGGCCGCAAGGGGGGGCGAGAGGGCTGCAAGTGGCGGCGCGCAAGCTGCAGGGGCGGCGGACGGGCCGCAAGCGGGCGGCGCGCGGTCTGCAGGGGCGGCGGGCGGGCCGCAAGTGGGCGGCGCGCGGGCTGCAGGGGCGGCCGGCGGGCCGCAAATAGGCGGCGCGCGGCCTGCAGGGGCGGCCGGCGGGCCGCGAGCGGGCGGCGCGCGGGTTGCAGGGGCGGCGGGCGGGCCGCGAGCGGGCGGCGCGCGGGCTGCAGGGGCGGCGGGCGGGCTGCCAGCGGGCGGCGCGCGGGCTGCAGGGGCGGCGGGCGGGCCGCCAGCGGGCGGCGCGCGGGCTGCAGGGGCGGCGGGCGGGCCACAAGGAGGCTGCGCGCGGGCTGTAGGGGCAGCGCGCGGGCCGTGAGCAGGTGGAGCGACGGGCTGCTAGGGGCGACGCGACTGCCAGCAGGGCGACGGGCCTGTAGGGCAGGGCAGTAGGGCAGTTCGTGGGGCAGCTCTATGGTGGGCCCTAAAAAAAACAGTCCTAAGGAAGGACCTGCTCTGATACCATGTTGAAAACTAGAACGAGAATGAATGGACTATGAATGAGTTGGGTACAAGTACTAACCCTAATTGGGTTGTACCCCTTATGGGCTACACCACTATAGCCTACACAAAGTAAGCAATATAACATTTTGACAATATCAATTACCTAAAAAAAAAAACACAAGAGGCAACGAAATTGTCTTATGATTGCGAAGCGTTTTGCGTAATTACATGAATTTGTACAACTTCAAATTCTGTATATTATGCTGTAGTATGACATAAAGTGGTACTTCGTCCAACTTGCCAGAGAACAAAAGAATTGCGTGTCAAACTTATATATGCTATAGTCTGTTTAGGCTGTAGTGGGGTAGTTCCTAGAGGGTACAACACTTCTGTGTTCTCTACTTGTACCCACCTCGTTTCTAGTTCAATCATCCATTCCTCAATTCTCTCACATGGTATAGAGCTAGTTCGATTTTTCCTAAGGGCCCACCACTAAAGTTCTTTTTTTTTCCTTACCTGCCCGACGCGCGCGTCGCGCCTGCCCTTCGAGGACCCTTCGCGGCCCGTAGCGGCCCCTTTACGGCCCGTAGAGGCCCCTTTGCGGCCCGTAGCGGCCCCTTCGCGGCCCGTAGCGGCCCCTTTGCGGCCCGTAGCGGCCCCTTCGCGTCCCGTAGCGGCCCCGTCACGGCCCGTAGCGGCCCCTTTGCGGCCCGTAGCGGCCCCTTCGCGGCCCGTAGCGACCCCTTCGCGGCCCGTAGCGGCCCCTTCGCGGCCCATCGCGGCCCCTTCGCGGCCCGTAGCGGCCCCTTTGCGGCCCGGAGTGGCCCCTTTCCGGCCCGTAGCGGCCCCTTTGCGGCCCGTAGCGGCCCCTCCACGGCCCGTAGCGGCCCCTTCGCGGCCCCTTCACGGCCCGTCGCGGCCCCTTCGCGGCCCGTAGCGGCCCTCGTCGCGGCCCGTAACGGCCCCCCCTTTCCGGCCCGTAGCGGCCCCTTCGCGGCCCGTGGCGCCCCCCCCCCCCCCTCGCGTCCCTTAGAGGCCCGCCGTCGGCCGCCTCTGGACCGCTGCCAGTCGCTGACCAGCAGCCCCTCGCCGACCTGCCGCCCGTCCCTGACCAGCCGCCCATCCCTGACCAGCCGCCCGTCACCGACCTGCCGCCCGTCCCTGACCAGCCGCACGTCGCCGACCTGCCACCCGTCCC